AATAAAGTGGCCGTGAGTTTACATATTTCATGGTTAGCTGAGATACTTTAAAATTAATATCAATGAAACCAGAAAAAAAATCCCTGAAACTATAATTCTTCCATTGTTTTTGTCTTTCTAAAATTGACAGGAGGCAATAAGCATGAAAGTCTCTTAATGAACAGAACAGGAGTACATTTGTTTTAAAAGCTTAAAAAAAAATCATTTATTTGTCCTTGTGCATTGTCCTGATCGTGCTCAACAACATCATTATTCTATCATCTCTCATGTCAATCTAACTGTAATTTGGTTTGCAGGTGAACAGATGGGTGTCCCTAAAACTCTGTGATCTAGGTGAGAGCACCTGAGTCCTGGTCAGGATGGAACATTTCTTTCATTAAGTTTTAAACCAGATCATCTGATTCTGAATGCTTTCTTCTGTCTGCATTACTCAGAGAAGCTGAACTCACTCGCTGCCAAAGAGAGAAGCTTCACAGTTAAAATGTTTACCTTTCAGTTCTTCACCCTCTTCTCCTCTCTCTTCTATGTGGCTTTTTTCCTGGGCAGGTATGTATCTGCTGGAATACCATGCAAGTCCAAAACACAACACATAGCTTTGTACTCCCTGTGTAGTTTTTGATTCTGATCAAAGCACGGTGATATGTTTTGAATAAACCAAATGGTTCCAGTTTACCAACAAGTGAGTATAATAAATGTTTCTTGGTTTGTGTCAGGATAAACGGCCATCCTACAAACTATGTGCGTCTACTTGGGTTTAGACTGGAAGAGGTGAGATCACTTCATGGTTTCTGCAGAGCTGTCATTCTGCAACAGCATGGTAAATAGTAAACCCTGATGTGTCGTTTGTGTTGCAGTGCCATCCGAGTGGTTGTTTAACAGACCTTTTTATCCAAATGGCGGTGATTATGCTGCTCAAACAGACTCTCAACAACATCTTTGAGATCCTTGTGCCGTAAGTGAGATGTTTTGTTTTGACTTTGCATGTTGCATTCAGGTAACCTACAGGAACCAACAGTGGATCTAATCCTCTTGCAGCTGGGCCAGGAACTTTTTGAGAAAAAAAACTGCAAGGCGGCTGAAGAGAGAGTGTGGCAAATGCTACAGGAAGTTTTGTCGTGAAAAGCAGGGTCGTGTTGAAGCATGTGATATTTGCAAAAGACGGGACTGGCTGAGAAACTATCACCTGGGTAACACGGATGCCTTCAGCCTGTTTAATGAGTTTCTGGAAATGGGTAGGTCTATGTCACTGTAACTACAAATATTACAGCCATGAAAATGAGGGAGAAAGAATCACGAGAGGGATTTATACTTGTTTCTCTCACGCTGCAGTTTGAAATTAGCATAACATTAAATGCTGCTCAAAGTCACACATGGAGGAAAGAGCTAATTAATAAATTAAAATAACAAGGACTGACGTGGTGTGGTTTTTGTTTTCAGCTTTTAGAACTGCAGGTTGCTGTTTTGTTTGCATGTTGCCCACTGCTCTCTGTGCTCCTCAGTGATCCAGTTCAGCTTCACCACCACATTTGTGGCTGCATTCCCTCTGGCGCCCCTTCTGGCTCTTATGAATAACATCATTGAGATTCGCCTGGATGCCATCAAAATGGTCCGCTACGAGCAGCGCCTTATTCCCAGGAAGACCAATGACATTGGTAAGTCATGGAAAACAAGCATTTCATGGTCTTTTATGTTGTTTTAAACCCAGAAAGCCTATTTTTAGAAAAGAGCCACAGAAAGAGCACTTTCTGCCACTTAGTGCAATAGATACAACACAGAAACAGGAGTTTGTATGTAACTGCTGTATTTGAGGATTATTTTGTTGTCTGCAGGAATATGGACGGAAGTGTTGGAAGCTGTTGGTGTATTTGCTGTGATCATTAATGGCTTGGTCATTGGCATCTCATCTGACTTTATTCCTCGTCTGGTTTACCATTACCATTATGGCCCATGTGCCAAAGGCATCAACTCGACACAGTCAGTCATGTCTCCAGCTTAAAGCTCTGACATCATGTTAGCACTGAGTTATGTTCTGTCCTCATGATGTTTTTCTTATTTGCAGCTGTATGCAAGGCTACATTAATGACACTCTGTCTGTAGCCTTCATGAAGACCAACATCAAAGATGAATATATGCTGAAAACAAACGATTATGCTAACGTCACTCAGTGCAGGTGAGAGAACTAAATGACTGGTTTGTGTTCACACATGTAGTGTTCCTTCATAGACGTGTCAACCAGGTCCAACTGTTGTTTACAGCTACAGAGACTACAGGAATCAAGACTACTCTCTGACCTCTCAGTTTTGGTTTGTCCTGGCTATACGCTTTGCGTTCATCATTCTCTTTGAGGTTTGTTCCTGGAATATTGCAAACATTTTTAAAATTAAAATTAGAAAAATAACTGAATTTGATTGTCTTACATCATTTTGTCTTGCGTGTGTTTTCTGCCCGCAGCATGTAGTGGTGGTGTGCAAGTTTATCGCTGCCTGGTTCGTCCCAGAAAAACCTGTCAGGGTTAAGAATAGTCGCTTGCATGATAAAATGGAACGACTCAAGAGTGAATTGAAGTGAGTCAAATGGAATAAACATAAGTCAACTCACTAAAACACATTTTGAATTCACCCTCTTGTGAAAAGTCCATGTTGTTGTTAATGTAGTTTTTCCGCTCCAACATTATGTCACACATTGTTTGACTTTGAGTTTGGTGTGGTTGACTGGAGTTCAGTGAAGTATGATTACATGATGCCACTCCAACCTGTGTTGTACCTTTGTGATCATAATGTGATGTAATTCACTTTTACCTGCTGGCTCCATTTCAGTGTATTACTGTGGTGTCAGTTTATAATTAATGTGTTCTCAAGACACATTACCAGACAAGTAGTACTGTTATAATACAGACAGCAGTGTTTCCCTACCGTTATCCAATTCATTTTAATAGCCAATCTAAATAATGCATCGTGAGCTGTTTCCATCTCTACTTTCGGTTCTCTCTTAGGCTATGTTTATAGATAATGAATTGAGGCATGAGGGTGTGCCTGTATGTTATGCTACCTGGTCGTCCACCTCAGAATTTCTGCAGGGATCTCGCGCCACCTTTCACTCAAACTGGATGAATGGGAAGGTGCTCTTGCAGAACAGGTTTGCCTGTGAAAGCATTTATATGATTCCTCTATGAGGGTGTATTTTCACAAAATACTGCACCAACCTACACATCGAGAATTCAGTGAATTGAGTTTTTGTTTTAAATAGAGAAAAAACAAATTTATACAAAATTTCACATGCATGAAAGCAGTTCATCCAGATTTTAATTTTATTATGTGTGTTTTGTCTGTTTTCTTTTCAGTGACAGGAAACTTGGACGTCCCATATCAACCGAAGTGTGACCTTAGCTGACCTCCAATCTGTTTCCACTGAAAGGCGCTGAAATGGAAAAAAATGAATTTATGCTTTTTATTAATCTGCGCCTACTGTTGTAACTCAAAATAATGTGAGATATTTGTTCAAGAATATTGTTGAAAGTAGCAGCAGGTTTGGTTTTATTTTGAAATGTAACTAATGTGTTATTGAATGTCAGTCATTTACTGCTGAATGATGCACTGTGGAACATTTAGCTGCTTCATTCCTAAACTTGTTTCATTGTTGCTCTTATTGTAGGAAAAAGCAGATAACAGCTTACTGTTGTTAAATAAACGTGCAGTGAACCAGACTGTTGCACATTTTCATCTCAAGGTTTCTGTCTAAACAAGCAAGTAAATAAAACAGCCGAGAAGAGAAATGTGGAGTCATCTCTTCTTTGATTGGTGTCCAGCAATTAAACATGTCCTCCACATAACTGAACTCTGCTCTCAGGCTCTTCTCGTGTTAGCTGTATTGTCACTCCTTTTGTAGCTGACAAATTAATGACAATATGTGAATATATTCAAATACTGAATGAATGAATGAATGAATGGGAGATGTTTATACTAAAGCTAGGAATCTCCATGTAGTTAGGCTGGAAGAAGGCTGCAATGAATTCAGAAACTGGATTGCATCACTTCCTTCACTCTAAAATAAATTATCCCATTTTGGAGAAAACAAACACCTGAAACAGGTTTTCTAAAAATAGTAACAGTGTTTAGGAAATCTGGGTTGTTTTTTTTGTTCCGGAGGGAGAATCAAATCCAATTCTGAATATGTGTCACCATAGTAACAGCCTCTGCACAGATAAGTAGTTCATTGATCAAAATCCAGAGTTTCCGCTGATCTCTGGCTGTGTGAAGCAAGCTCTCCAATAATTGTTGCTTTTGAATTGAATTAAATTTAAAGATACCTTAAAAATATCAAAACTAAATTCCATCCATCCATTTTCTGTACACCCTTGTCCCTAGTGGGGTCGGGAGGAGTGCTGGTGCCTATCGCCAGCGAACGTTCCGGGCAAGAGGCAGGGTACAGCCTGGACAGGTTGCCAGTCTGTCGCAGTCAAAGGGAAATTAAATGTTGCAAATCAATCTACTCTAGTTTACTGTAGCTCCTGAAGGCTGTGGGCAGCAGGGGTCTCCTCAGGATGCTGCTCATGATTCAGTCCCTCCTGGCACAACAAGCTGAGGTCAGTGAGTCTCTGAGCATCATGTGGATCATCTAAGGGTCAGAGGATCCTCCTGGATGACAGGAATATGACGCTACGATGAGAGTGGAAAGGAATTCAACTAAGGCTTGCATTAAGATTTAAAAACTTCTCACAAAGCCTATGTTCTCTTTTTCTTTTTTTTCCCATTTGATTCCCTTTTATGTTATCTTGGAAGAGCATTGGTCTGTTTTTGAAAAGAACAGGTTTCTGCTGTTTTAAGGAAATTCTTTCGTTGTTTTTCTTCTAACATTCACAAAAAAACGTACATCTGACTGAAAACAAAAGGTTTAAAGGTAAGCAGATCAAATGGTTTTCAAACAAAAATAAAACGAATAGGTAAATGTGCAGTAAGCTATTTATATTCAAACAACACAGATAAAAACAGTAAAAACCCATAAACAATTCATCAACCTTTATTAAAATTATTATTTTTACTGTTTCTAAACTTCACTACATTGGAAATTGCTACATGATCAAACCAGTTTAACAGGAACAGCTGAATTGTTGAACAGGTGACAGACAGTTACAATCATATCAGGTGAGATGATGTCAAACAGGATTAATAATTCAATTATGTAAAGGTACTTTGTATTATTTTACTTTTCAGTTTGTTTATTCAGCACAGAGAGAGTTCTATTAAACACGAACCACTCATTCATAGTACAGGTAGCGACACATTCACGCATTTCCTTGCTGAATTATTCGTGATAACACAAAAAGTTTGAATTGTGACAAAGTTACATAGAAGTTGGAGGCCTCAACATGTTTAATGTTAGACTGAACTACCTAAAAACACTGAATACTTAAAGTGAAAGTTGTTTTTACTGTCAGTCACATGATGTATAGTAGCGACTCATTTCAATGTTTCCAAATCAGAGCCTGCAGCTGTTTTTTTTTCTGCTTTTGGATGGACTTTTTAGTTCTTAATCTGGAGTAGGAGCTTTTACTGGTATATAATATTAGTGTCTGTAATGTAACTATTAATCAGAACTGATCAGTTGTCCCTGTAATCTAATCCCACCACAGGACAGTACTATTTGACTCAGAGGAAATATAGTAAATGCAAACGCATGAACTGTAATGTAGAGCTAACAAACACCAACCGTTACAGAGTCCAAAACCCAACCCAGTTATTGTTACTTTGTAGATTTCCTTACCAGCAATGAGCCGAGGGCTTTCTTGGGAACAAGTTTTCTGAAAATGCTGAGCAACAGTATTATTAGTAGCTAACAGCAGTAACTAACATTTCTATGTGATTTACTTTCAAACTTTAGCAACATATTCACAAAAGGGGGCACCATAATCCAAATAAACATTTCTTTTTATTGCAGATATGAGTAGGTTTTATACAAGGCAGCCATGTTGGATCTTGAGGTCAGATTTAGAAGCCTCTACTCTTAATGCATTTTTCAACTGTAAAAACTTCAACATAATAGAATGCATAAGTACACTGACTCCATGAATCAATCAATCATGTAGTTTGTTATGTTTGTAATGACAAAACACAAAAAAACAGAAAATAGTCCAAGTCCTGTTGTGTTTAAGAAATTCTGTCAACTTGGTGGAGCTTTAGCTTGTTATTAAAACTTGTGACAAGCGCTGGTTTAACCATGACTATTAACGTCAATGTGTTTCTTTTATATTCATTCATTTATATTATCTAACCGTTGTTGACATCAGGAGCTAAAATCCCAAAGTAAATGAAACAGTGACCCCCAGAGGTGAGACTGAAAATGACATGACGCACTGAGTGCTTGGCGGGATGTTACGTCTCCTCAGCATTCCTCTTTGAGACGGGAATCCAAAGGGAGGAACCTCATTGGCTCTTACCTCATCTTTCACACTGCTATGAGGAAATAGTGCAACAATGAAGTTGAAGTATGAAGACACTAAGTAAAGTGTTCAACACATACAAGTCATCAGAGTTCTGGAGCAATTCCATGTTAAATATCCAATTTGAACATATCTACCTACATACATGCCAAATCCAGCTGCAGATCTTCTCTGTTATCTTACTTCAAAAAAGACAAAAATGTACTCCTCAAAAAGGGGCAAAAATATTCATAAATAGTCTTGATAAATCTTTTAAAAACTACTGCATCTAGCAGGTTTCTTCTTCTCTGATGGGAGCTTGAGCAGAACGTTAGCTTCCAAAGAGAAGTGTGATAATGTGTAAAGCTTTCAATAGCCTCAACAATAAGAAACATTTGAAAGAAATGAGATGAATCAGAATTAGGTTTAAAATGTGTGTGCGCAACACCAACAGTTAAACGGGCAACTTGATTCACACACTAACAGGGCGCTGCAGTCGGTATGTCTTAACAACATTAAGTCTGAATCTATTCTGTCAGGGATAAACCATATGTTATGTCAGAATCAGTCTAAAATAAACCAGCTGCATGTGACTGTCAAAAACACAACGCAGGCATAAATCAGTCAAACAGTTCCAAATGGAGGAATAACAGCTCCTGTGTTTGGTTCTGGTCGGTCCGTTCGCCTCCTTCTCCTCACTGCAGAATTCACGCTGAGAGGAAACAGAGACTAGAAGTTGGAATCAACGAAGTTCTGTCGTGTAAATCCTCTCTGTCGAACACAAAGAAATAAAGCAAATACTTAAAATAATAAATTTGATGGAGCGACAGAGTTCCTCCTAAATATTGCAGAGATTATCGTTACCAAATGTTTGCTGAACACTCAGGCTGTTATATCCACAACAACACCAATGAAAGAAGATAAAACTAGAAAAACGTTATTTCACCACCCAGAAAATCCACCAGTCATCCAGCAGATTCCACATCATGGTTGGAATGGAGTCATTTTACATCTAGCTCTTTTTTTATGGCTTTAAATCATTTTGTTTATGTGAGTCAGAAGCCACATGAGGGAGCATTCGGCTCGGCTCATGTAGGTTTTGTTTGTTGTGCAAAGTTCAGTTTGTTGGTGGGCTGATTATACAGGAGAAAATTGGAGCTTACTGACTGCCAACGCCACCTCAGAGACAAACAGACAGACCCTCAGATGGATTCTGTACTCCTGCTGAGTCCAACGCACACAAATACTGCTGGGACATCATAACAGGAATGCTGAAATTAGGGATGATGTGAAGGATATTTGTATTTTGTTAATACATCTCCTGATTTTTTTTTAAAAAAGGGAAAAGCCCTGTTTTCAGCTGAAATGGCTCAACCTGATCTCCAACTTCATGACAAACTGAGAGCCAATCAGACATTTGCCAGAACAAAGGTAACCATTTAGTAACCAAACAATTCACAGAAATGTTTGATAGTACATTGCAGTGTCCAGAGGCCTTCACAACAAGAGTAGGGAGGAAGAAGATGGACCAATGGGAAGCTGAGGTCAAGCAGAAAAAAAAAGAGAAACCGATATGAGACGACGTGAAGCAGAAAACCATCTGGTGGAAGCAATTGGCCAACGCCCACACACACACACACACACACACACACACACACACACACACACACACACACACACACACACATCAGCTCAGTTTGGCCTGAAGTTCAGCTCCAACAATGCAGCAGCAGAGAAAACTATGTCTAACAAGAGAAACACAGACTGGTCTGCCTGATAGCTTTACTGACTAAATGAAATTAATTCCCACCCAAAACACTCCATCAAAAAAGAATAAAAAGCATAGAATGATACACAAACAAGCAACACATCCATATGCTTTCATAATTACACTTTAAACCAAACATTGACATAAAAAGTCACGGAAACATTTTTCCCAAAATCTGTGTCAATTCAGACTGAAAAAAGTTAATATACAAATAAACCTGATAAACTGATAAGATTATATCAGTAGCAGATCAGAAAAAACTATTTAAAAAAAGTTGAGAAAAAATATGATAAAACTGAAAAAACAAAAACAATTTATATTGTAGTGAGTCAGGAATAAAAAGCAGTGCACTAACTAAACTTGATGGACTGTTGCACTGAGTCAGCTTAAAACTGCAACTTTTATTGGTGCTTTCTGCCTCCAATGAGTGTCTTAATGAGGGGGTGTAAAATCTGTGGCTGCCACTCCACCCAAACCATCAAGACAGTAATTCTTTCAGTAGACCAGATTAAACTCCTTCTGCTTTTGTTTATAACTGAAACGGGAAAAACTGGAGTAAATTTCACAACTGAGCTCTGCAATCACTGAGAATCCACACTGTACTTCCCAAACAGGGTTCATATTGGACTCACCAGTTTGTAATCTCTGTGCAGCTTGTTGTACTGGAACATGTTGCAGAGCACGGTGGAGGCCGCCCTGGCAGCCCGGAGGCTCCCGGAGCTAAACAGAGACGACAGGCGGATCACAGTGAGGCAGTGAGGAGGGGGGCACACAGGTCAGACCGTCACCAGTAAACATTCATAAATGACATGATAAATTCTATTAAGACATCTCTCTGTGGGGTCAGTGGCCATATGGAATGCAGTAGCTTATAAACGGGAAACAGAGGCAGCCAATGAGGAAAGGTTCTGTTAGAATTGGAGGAATTAACTACAGCTGACCTTTGACCTTGATCTGCAGCAGCTGTCAGTCCTACCTGTTATCATGTGACGTCTTTATGCCCATCAGCTTAGGAAGACCATTGAAGTAGGCAATATCTCGGGCTGCTAAAGAACTGCAGGTGACCAGATGGTTCAGGGCCCCGCACATGTTGACCACCACCTCACTGGACGGGGTCTTCTCCAGGCCGTCAGCAGGCAGCCTGGACACCAGAGCGCTCACCATGATCTTAGCTGCCAACAGAAGAGCCAGTCAAAGAGTTTTATGTTTATTTAGAGAAATGATATGCAACATAAAGATGCTTTTTTTGATGGAGTTTCATTGCTCATTGCCGGCCCCTCACCCATGTGGTCTTTGTCTGTAGCGTGCCTGGTCAGGTTCCTGAGGAGGCCGGTCAGCGGCCTGAGGAGCATCTCATTGCTGCTGTCCAGCAGATCCAGCAGCATGGGGACCATCCTCTCCTGCTCACTCACCACACCGCTCAGCACCGCTGGCCACTGACACACACACACACACACACACACACACACACACACACACACACACACACACACACACACACACACACACACACAAACAACACTTCACTCTTCCAACCTGCTCTATTTACGCTTCATTTCCCCTCCATAGACATTTTATATGAAAAGAATTAAACCAGTTCAAGAAGTAAATATTTAAGTGAGATTATTTTGTTATATAAATGTTCACATGTTCTTTATTTAGATACTTGGTATGAGGGACTGCTGTAAAGTCAACGACTTGTCTGCTGTCGCTGCATCCAGGAGGAGCGAAAGGTGCAAGTCAGTAGTTGTTTCCATTACAAATGTGTAAATCTTTGTCTATATTCAGCTGATGTCAAAAAAACACAATTTCACAACTGCAGAGTTTCCACTAAGTAAGAAATAAATTAAAACCACATGACTGAACTTTTCTCCGCAATAAGACATTATAAATCATGGCAACAACAGATGTAAACAGTGACATAAGTTGTATTCATATCTCATGTCTCATTTCATGGTACTTGAACTTATCTATCAGCCAATCAAAGGAGACGTTGGAGTCTCTTCTCAGGTGTTGGCACGACAAGCCCCGCCTACTTGGGAGCGACTACATATGTGGCATTTTGGGAAAATGTAGTCAGTAATTTTACAGAAGAGTTATGGATTCAACATGTTGAATAACAACTATTTATGAACTGTGATGCTGAGAGCTCTGGTGGACATTGTCTGAAAAAACAAAAACAAACAATTTTCATACTACTACTTCCTGTCCTCTTCTTTGTCATTTTAACCAGTAACATTTGGCTGTTGATCATGTGACTCGTGATGCGAAGAAAGAGTTGTCAATAGAGTTTTGTAAAATACATTTGTTTCGATATGGCTGAAAAGCCACCTCATTCTATCACAATTTTTTTTTTTTTCAAAATTAGTGTTTCCATTAAGGGAATTCATAGAATATTTTGATGTTAATTTGTGCAGTTTTATAGCTAATGGAGTAGCAGTTAATGACTTGATGCAATCTGCTGGGTTTTCTTAGTTAGAAAACTTGTTAAACTAAATTAAATAATTAGTTGAGCCAAATGTACTGCTTGATAACCAGCATCAATCGGAATTGAACTGAAATGGTGCTTTTTTCTAAAGCGCCTTCAGATGACATTTGCTGTGAATTGGCGCTAGAGACATAAAGTGAATAGAATTGTTTGTCATTGTGAGCCTACCCGTCCTTCTCCAGATGTGATGTTCTGCAGGGCTCCAACAGCAGCTTCCACTGTAGCTGAGCTGCCTTCACTGTTCTGCAGGACCTGCTTGTAGAGGGCCACGCCCTTCGGGTGCCACAGCCACTCAGAGTCCTTGGGGTGTGACAGTCTTGGAAGATTCCTGTGTTGAAGCTGTAAAAAAAAACATCATTAGGTCACTTTGGACAATCTTCATCCACAGAGCACATGATTGCCAGTGGGCCTGTTGGAACCACACTGTTCTGGTTCCTGACACCCTGAGTGGTCAAGAAATGCCCCTCTGTAAAAATCTTAGAAGTCTTAGCATCCAGTGACAAAGACCTCACCTCATTGTTCTTTTTGCTCTGCACAGTGAAACAGCCAATCATCTCATCAGTTCTGGAGGCTGAAGCTCTGGATGGGCCCTCCAGGTGGAGGCGGACTGACGGAGGAAGCTCCACGTACAGCTGGTACGATAGATTCCTCATCACACACAAGGAGTTTTCTAAACCCTAAACAGGAAGAAAACACAAGATTCAACTTCAGACTAGAAGACTGCTTTTTAAATTTTTAGTAATGGTTCACATAATGCGTTGACTTCAAAGCATAATTAATTTTATGTGCAACTTATTTTTATTTGAAGTTGTGGAACACATGGCTTTTTGAGACTAAAATATCTATATGTAGAAGCTCTAGAGCAACAAACACACACTAAGTGACACTGTAGTTTATATTCAAAGTGACATCAAATGTTTCAGCTGATATTTGGAACCACATTTAGAAAGCAGGAAAATAAAAACACCACAGACATGAGTCGTGTTGGAAAAACAGAGAGCTTTTCCATAAACAGGAACCACTAGTTTCTGAAAAGGATGAGAAAATAGGAAAAATTCCAGAAATTACAGCAGGATCACTGAGGAGTAAAACCACAACAACAACACATAACTTCTAATTTATTAACAATAAACACATAGTATGGGCCGTCACATGATGCAGTGGCTATAGACAGAGGCTAGAACCCCGAGACTGTAACCGTGAGTTCAGCTCCTGTCCGCGGTTCCTTTGCTGCATGTCTTTACTCCCTTTTCTGACCCCTTCACATCAGGTCCATTAGAAAAGCAAGTCTTCAGTGAGACGTGCTCAGACAGACCAAGACAAATATTTCATTTATTGTAAAATTCACTGATTTGATGAAAGCAAAGGAACATTTTTTATTGACTCTAAGGAAATAAATGCTTAACACATTTTAAAACACTACATCAACTTTAAAGTTGCAAAGTAAAACAAGCACTCAACTCTAATATATTGCAATAAAAAAGCCCAAAAAATAAGCAAAAAATATCAACACATTCTTTGTCAAGATCTTTGTCGTTCACCGTCCAGAGCAGGACAACGTCAAAAGGTGGGTTATTATTATCATGTGTGAGTCTCTATTTTTTCCCATTTGTTCTGAATCACTTTCAGATGAGTGTTGTGTTGCTCTATATGAGTGTTTCCCAGCCCTGGTTCTTGAAGCACACCTCACTGCATGTTCCAGATGTTTCCTGATTTAAGAGCCTGTGAAAAGATGTTTAGAAGATTCTGACTTTTGACACAGAGAGCCCAGCGCCCCCTATGCCTAAAGAAGTGTATTAGAAGTCACATGATAAAAACAGACACAAATTGTCAGCGGTTCATTAATTTTTCCTTTAAAAGTAGGTTAAATCTTAATACGTCTTCCATTTTTTTATTCTATTTCCTTAATAGGATGCAAAATTTCTGGAGCTAGGAACCATGCATCCTGGTTCCATGGTAACTGAAAAACCTTGTAAGAAATAATTTACCCGGCCATGTTCACTGGTTTGTGGCCTGGTTCTAATACACCATAGTATTGTTATTATAAGCCTTTATTTCACCAGAAATATTCCATTAAGATTAAAAATCTCTTATGTAAGTAAAACCTGGCCAAGGCTGGCAGCAGCACATAGAATTACTACCACTGGGTTAGTGAAAACCAGTAAAATCTCAAATAATGGCCACCAGGAGCAAATGTAATGACACCATCTTTGTTAATCAGACGTCATCTTTCTATGTCTGTTGGGTTTTTACCTGCTCAGAGCTGCTGGTATTTTAGGCAGTCTGCAGTAACGATGTCCAATGGTTCTGAAATCAGACCTCTTTGTATGTACTACTGCATTATTTACAGCTTGTTAGTGAGATTCGGGTTACCTTATCATCTCCTCTTTCCCCCAGCTGAATGTAGCACACCAGAGAGTCCACCAAACCCTGCATGCTTCTCATCTTCCGTCTCGTTCTCTCATTTACTGAGCTCAAGTTCCTAAACATACAGACACGAGGTAAACACACAAACAGACACATTCATACCCAGCAGGAAACATGTCACTGCAGAGGTCACTTTGATCTGATTATTATAAAATTCAACCTGTTTTATCTCAGTTCTGGACTAAATTTTCTAAGCATAAAGGCATGTCTAATCACTAGAGGTGGGCCAAAAAAATCAATTCACATAAGATTATCTATTGTCGATTTAAAATGTGCAGTGACATCAGAATGTGGTGACGTACATCAGAGGAAATTACAAAAATCAAAGAAAGATTCAAACAGCAAACATTTGGACTCATTTTGGTTTTTATCGATACCTGGGAAGAACGAGCCTGACAGGAGCTTCACCGTGTGCAAGCTTTGTAAAATGAACATTGATCACTTTGGGAATACCGCAGATATTACATTTAATTCATTTCAGTTTATTTATTTGATGGCATTTCACAACAAGAGTCCTCTCTTTACAAAAAAATCATTATAATTCAATCACATCCATACATTCTAACTGATCTTAGTTATCAAACAGTAAAGTGTACGGAATTAGTTATTCTAAGTAGTTAAAAAATTTCTGTCTAAGGAAACCCAGCAGATTCCACCAAGTTATTGACCTGCAGCAAATATGTGGAAACAGGCTGCAGCCTGGCTGAGGAACTGTTCCTCTGGTACGGAGCTCTGAGAGGAGAGTGTGATTGGTCAGAAGTTTGTGGGCGGGTTTTATGCAGAACTAAGCTCAGACAGTAATATTGATATTTTGCTTCAACTAATCCTCTTCCATGACCTGCTTTTTGTATCCGCAGGTGACACGAATCTGACACAGTGATGAATTATGTAAATTTGTATGGTTAGTTACTAAATAATTATAAAAACGGTCAAATGACTAAAAACTCCTCCACTGAGGAAGCTGTCTGCAATTTCAAAGTGGATTTAGGAAAGGTAGAAGTACTATAGACCCTATTTTGTGTTTAGAACATGAAATCAGAAAAGGGCAAGTTAATAAGGAGAGTGTGGTGGCGGTTTTCTTTGACATATAGAGAAAGCCTATGATATGATGTGGAAAGAAGGGTTTTTAATTAAATTAGGGAAAATGGGGGTTAGAGGATCAATGTTTAATTGGATGAAATATTTTTTACATAATAGATCTATACAAGTAAGAATAGGTCAACAATTGTCAGAAAAATATTTTGTTGAAAATGGAACTCCTCAAGGAAGCATTGTGAGTCCTTTGTTTTTCTCTATTATGATTAATGATATGCTTGACAATTTGGAGAGTGGTATGGGTTGTTCATTATTTGCTGATGATGGAGCAATTTGGAAGAGAGGTAAGAACTTGAAATTTATAGTTAAGAAATTACAAGAAGCAATATATAGTATAGAAGAGTGGTCATATAATTGGGGTTTTAAAATTCCAATAGATAAAACAAAGACCTTATTTTTCACTAGGAAGAAAGTATCTAATGATTTAAACTTGTATTTGTATAAACATGATTTAGAAAGAGTAAATGAGTTTAAATTTTTGGGTTTGTGGATGGATGAAAAACTCACTTGGAGTAGACATATTCAAAAAGTAGTGGATAAGTGTAAGAGAGTTTTAAATGTTATGAGATGTTTGGTGGGAAGAGAGTGGGGCGCTGAGAGGAAAGCATTGAAAACGATATATACAGGTTTAATAAGATCTGTATTAGATTATGGTAGCCTGGCCTTTGGATCAGCATCAGAAACACTTCTTAAAAAATTAGACATTATTCAGTATCAAGCCTTGAGGTTGTGTACAGGAGCCATCAGAACAACTCCGATCTCGGCTTTGTTAGTTGAAATGGGGGAAATACCACTTTACCTCAGAAGATTACAGTTAAGATTATCTTACTGGAGTTATTTAAAGGGTCAGTATGAAAACCATCTATGTCAAGAAATTTTAAAACCTAGCTGGGAAAAGGGGAAAAAGACTTTAAAATCCTTTGGTTGGGAGATAGAGAGCGACGCGAAAGATTTTGATTTATCATCTATAAAAATGAGTGAAACAGTTCCACTATCACCGGTCCATCCATCTCTGTTTCATGAAATCATTGTGGATTTATAAGGAAATATTTTAGAATCATACTCAGTGCAATCATATATAGAAAATAAATACTTTGATTATGTTCAAGTGTATACAGATGCATCTAAAAGTTTAAGTAGCAACAATGGGGTGTCGTTTATCGTTCCAGGATTTAGTATTAAAAAATGTAAGAGGATTTCTGATGGCGTCTCAGTGTTTACAGGGGAGATGATGGGAATAATTCTGGCATTAGGATGGATTGAAGAGGTTCGTCCTCTGAGAAGTTTAATTTGTTCTGATTCAAGTTCACCGTTATATTCAATTAAACATAATCAGTCTAATAGTAGGCCAGACCTTTTATTTGAGATTCAGTTAATACTTTATAGAATTCAGGTCATGGGATTAATTGTCATTTTTACATGGGTTCCATCGCATATAGGAATAAAAGGAAATGAGTTGGCAGACAAATATGCAAAACAAACTTCAAAAAACAGTTGCATTGAGATACTGATTCCTTTTAGTAAAGAAGAAATAAAATCTATTATAAAACAAAAGGTTAAGGGAATGGCAGAAGCAGTGGGAAGAAGAAAGAACTGGTAGATGGCTTTATAGTATTCAAAGGAAAGTTGGTGAAATGAGGGGAACAGGAAGAAGTAGAAAATAAAAAAACATTATATCCAGATTATGTTTTGGTCATACAGGTTTAAACAGTACACTATTTAAAATGGGGAAACATCCATCAGGTAATTGTGATCTTTGTTTTCAAGAAGAGACAGTAGAACATGTTTTATTGTTATGTCCAAAGTACTCTGAGGAGAGAAGGAAATTAGAATATAGACTTCTAAAGAATAAGTTACAGTTAAAAATACCAGATATTTTGGGATATTCCTCTTCCTCTGAATATTTACGTTATTTAATAAAATTTCTTAAGAAAACTAAACTGATAGAAAGAATTTAAGGTTTTTTTTTTTTTTTTCAGTTGCGTTCTGATCCACACTCCATACCAGTAGGTGGCGGTAATGCACACCATTAAGTTGCTTGCCAACCGCCATTAAAAACAAAAAGAAGAAGAAGAAGCTGTCTGCAGAAAGGTGGCGCTCTCTCAGTGACCGCTTTGTAAAAGTAAAACTAATATTTAAAATTATATAAATGTGACATTTTAAATCTGCAGTATGTAACTTTCATAAATAATATGTTTTTATATATTTGTTAAAATGTTTTGACAGTTTGTTATGAGGAAGATAATCTGTGAAAACGTCGCTCTCCTTCACCTCCTCCCTGAGCTACCATTGCCATCTGGAGAAATACCCCGCTACCGAGGGTCTATCCTCTTGATCCAAGATCCTGTTTAGCGCCAATCAAACTTATGTCCATGCTGCTGAATGTGCTGAAGGCAGAGAAACAACTTAAAGTCACAGGAAAACTGTTTATCCAACATCATCTGTGGTGATGCTAACTAGACTTAGCATTCACAACATGCTATGCTAGCTGCAGCATAGCAGAAAGCAAGGAGGGGACAGAGAAAGAGAATGTTCAGTGCTACATGATTGTGATTAATAGTGCTAAGGCCCGCCTCCTGTCTCTAATTGGTAGTTTCTAATTGGCAAAGAAGCTCAACGTTTTCACAGATTATCTGTCTCATATCAAACTGTCACACCATAGTAACAGTTTTAACAAATATGTATTTTTTTTTTCATTAAAGTTACATACTGCAGCATAAATGTCTCCATTTGTCATTCTGCCTTGAACACCAGCTGGTAGTGGATCACGAGGATCCCTTCTGTACGTATCGTGGCCCCACAAATGGGATATAATTATTCAGCCCATAATACATACCTTTGGTGAATTTCAAGAATTTAAGTGATTACTAAAAGGCCTGGCGCTTTGTTGATATTGATCAGATCTGAATCAGACCATAATGACTCATATAATATGAATTAGGTTGTTAGAGAAAAAAACCAAAACACTGGAGGGTTTCTTTCAAATTGTAATTTTTGCTTGTATTATGTTGATGATGTTTGACTTGCTGACCTCTCAGCTGTGACAAATGTGACTGGCTAACTGGAATTTGAATAAAATTGTTTTAACATATGTTTTTTGTTCCAGTAAAAAACTCCCTCAACAAATCTTTGTGGTTTATCACTTTCAAAGCAACATTTTTAGTGAAAATTCCCAGTAGAATTAGCAAACAAGGATTTATTTCATGTCTCAGGGAGTGTGCAGAAATAAATGGAGTAAAAAAATAGCTTACATAAGAGTAGCTTAGGTATTTCCACTCCTTTTCTTATTCGACACAACAACAAAAATCCATCAACTCTAAAAATAGTGTGGCAAAAAAAAAAAAAAACAGAGAACAATTATTTTGGATTTCTACAGTAGTTGGAATGAGACACTTGCCCTGCTGGCTGCTGGGAAACAGATGATCTCATGGTTTAGATATGCAGCTTAAAGTCGAAAAGACAAAAAAAACTTTCAAAAAAGGTCACAGGCAGCTAATAGAGAGATAGTAAAGTAGTGGATTATTTTGTATCATTAATTTGGTTAATCTGTTGTACAGTTTCATTTTATCTTTGCTCAGGTCCTGTTAATCTAAGTAGATTAACAGGAAGGGAGGTTTTGCTCTGGAAGTAATATGTGCTAATATCAGCAGTGTTGTTGTTGACACTGGGCTGCAGACTGTGTGTCTCAGACTCCTGCTGTCTGGTTGGATCTGCAACATCAACAGCTTCCTGTCAGTCAATTTGTTTGTCTGTCATGTCGCTCCAGTTTATCCGGGGGATCTTGGTCTGGTTCTCACCTGAGGCAGCCAGTGGTATTGTTGAAGATCTCTCTCTCAGACGGGTTCAGAGGGATGCTCTTGCAAAGTGGAACCAGAATTTTCTCAGTCAGAAGTGGCAACGCTTCCACAGCCAGCCTATCCTTCAGGTTGTCTCTGGAGGACAGATTCCAAAGGACACCTAACACACAGAAAATACCGGAATGACTAGTGACACACACATATACATTTCTTTTTTTCACACAGACTTATACTGTGGTGCATATTTGCTCACATAACAAGCTTCCTCTGATGTTGGGATGTTACATTCCTACCTGTGATGGTCTTCCACAGCTCCTCGTCGTGTTGGCTCAGGATGTTGACCAGAGCCGTCAGTCCTCCTGCCTCTATCAGGGCCGCCTTGTTGTCAGCATTCTCATATATAAGATTTCGTGTAGCCGCTGTAGCATAGCGCTGCACCTCTAAATGGTCACTGGAGAAAAGCTGCACCAGCGCAGGAACGCCACCCAAAGCACGGACCTTGGCACACACAGAGAACCTCTTACACACTTTGCACTTTTATCAAATCTATCAAAACTAAGCCTTGAGTTTGGAAATGACAGACATCCCCATTCTCCTGTACACAAACCTATCAGAAAAAAATATTTTACCTTCTGTTCAAATTCTGATTAAATCCACAGAGTAACAATAACACTCTCAGAGTAATCTAAAGTTTATGCAGCAGTTTTTTGGGAAAACTGGACACTTTGGAATAGCAAGAAAACAAAACATACAGTGTGTGTTGCGTGTGGGTGTCTGTCTTTTAGGGAAAAATACAAAATACAGAGACATCAGTTCATGTCCTCTTATTATTAGAGCTACCTTCCAATCTAATATTATCTGCATGAGGAAAAAATCTGTGTGTGCAGGGAACCAAAAGATGCTTTAGACCAGGGAACCACATTCTCCTAACTGTGTATATATTCAGTGTATACTAATTGGAATATAAATCATTTTTAATGTTTTCTAAAAACCTTCAGAAGAATTGGAACACTGAACAATTTCAAAACTAAACTCTTTAATGTACATTATTAGGCTTGACCAGCACAAAGTAATGAAATGGAAGAACAATTCTACATGTCTGTAAAATGTTTTTACAAATAAAAATCAAGAGTATGTAGCTTGCATAGCCATTTAGTCCCTGTTACATTAACAAACATAAATGAAATACAGGGCAACAAATATAGTCAAATATAACCACAAACCATCAAACTTAAAGTACCTGATTCTTGGCATTGTTGCTATGGTAACATTGGTGTTGTATATAAGCAGCTCCCAAAACTTGCAGAGAAGTATTTGGTTCAGAAAGATATCTGACAGCTGTGGGCATGTCAATGCTCTGCATCCTACACACACACCCACGCACACACATACGCATGCACACACAAGAGAAAAAGACAGACTATATTAATGCAGATTTATTTCATATGAAACTGTTTTAATGAGTCAGCAGCAGTTCAAACAGTTAGAGAGGATCTCTGCAGACCTAATGTAGTTAATCTGGTTAGAAATGTGGGACAGTAAATATTTCACTTGGCTGTGATGTTTTGCACTTTGTACTAGTTGTCCTCTACAGTCAATGATTTTCTTCCACATCCATAGGTAAACAGGAGACTTGTCCTCTGTCCCTGTCTGTCCCTCACAGACTCAGTCTTTATTATTAGCACCAGTTTTAATCATCTAAATATTCATCTAAACAACTTTCTTGGGAAAGTGTCGAAAAATTACATGACTGAATGTAAGATTGAACTTAAAGTTGGTATGAAATCATGTCAACATTTATGATTTATTTTTCTTTGTATTTATTTACCTGCTGTCATGATGACATGTTTTGACCAAGTGTTGGACATGTCCAATTATTAAGACTTTTTAGAGCTATTTTGTTTTCTTTTTCAGTCACTTCAGTCTGACAGAGTTATTGTGCAGGAACCAGGCAGGTTAGTATGAAATCTTCTTCTGACTGATACCTGACAGACAATCTTGTGCGGAAAGTTTTTATAAACAGACACAATTTTCCGTGGATCAGCTTTAGATAGATAAAAAATGAATTAAGTGTTCTCACTCTGCCAGAGGATCGTTGCTGTGTATGGAGGCGGCATCCATGATGTCTGCTCCCTTGCCGACGCTCCTCAGAGAGCGCAGAGAGGCGGCCCGGTGCAGTTGGGTGTACTGGGCCGTGGCCTGGTTGGTCCTGGAGGCATGATGCTGCCACTGCCCTGTCATGCTGTCCCCAGCACTGGTGAAGCCCCGGCCGTTCCCCTCCGGCCCCAACGCAGAGTTGTGCTGCTGGTAGTACTGCTGTCTGTTGGTGATTCTGTTGATGATGCGATGAGACGGACCTTTATAGGTGTACTGGTAGGGCAGCTCCTCCTCCTGCCAGGGCCCTCTCTCCTGGGCCAGGACCCCGCTCAGGGACCGCCTCAGGCTTCCAGGTGGAGGAACACTGAAGGGCACAGAGGAAGACTCTGGGTGGAGTGGACGGGCCAGAGGTAGCGCTCTGTGGTCATCCTGGCACAGGGACTTGGAGCGTTGGCTTCGACTTTGCATGTGAGAGGTGTAGAAGCTGGTCTGGATGGAGGCGCTTTCTTTATGCCTGACCTGAGAGCTGCCAGACATCCCAGAGGCCTGAGATGACACTGCAGACACCTGCAAGGTGGTTGGTCAGAGGAAAGCAGATCTTAAGAGACTTTTCTCACAGGAACAGGAAATAAGATTTGTTATCAAAACTACACAAATAGTACACTGTTCTATATTACAATGTCACCAAATGACTCTGAACCATCCAATCACTGAACAGATAAATGTGTGACTGTGTCATAACTTTCTCCAGCTGAAAAGAAACAAAACTGAAGTTTTTATCTTTGGACCTAAAGAGGAACAATCTAGAGTCAATGCACAGCTTCAGTTATTACAGTTGAAAACTAGAGATCCGAAACCTGGATGTAGTGATGACCTCTGACCTGAACCACAAATACAGATACACAAATACAGTTACAAAATCAGCCTTCTATCGCCTGAACATTTCCAGAATTAAAGGACTGACGTCTCAGCAAGATCTAGAGAAACTTTGTTTATCTTTATTCACATTGATTCACGGAACTTTGTCTTCTCAGGTCTGCCTAAAACATCAATCCTCCATCTGCAGCTGATCCAGAACGCTACTACTGGAGTTCTGACTAAAACCAGGAAGATAGAGAACATCTCCCAGTTCTACAGTCCTTCACTGAGAGAACAGACATCACTAAACTGCTTAGAACCTAAATAAATTATAGATTTGCTGTTGTCGCATCAACCTTTCAGATCTCTCAGGACTTCTGGTTCTGGTTCTGCTTCTGCTCTGCATCCAGAACCAAACATGGAGAAACAGCATTCAGCTTCTACTCTCCACAAAACTGTAACAAACTTCCAGAAAACTGCAAAACTGCTGAAACATTGAGTTCCTTTAAATCGATGATAAAAACCCAGCTGTTTATTTGTTTTTGAACCATAGAAGCGTTTTTCATTAAAAAAACAAAAACAAAAAAAAACAACCTTGGAGGGTTGAACAACGCTGTATGTCTCATTTCATTTCATAATTAATTAATTAATGGAACATTGATCAACATACTTTATGGGTATTGATAATTAAAACAATTTACAAAATGCAATGTCTGTTACTAGTTACACAATTGTTGACTGCATGATGTGTTTATGATGTTTGTATTTCATGATGCAAAGCACTTTGAACTGCCTCTGCTCCACAAATCAACTTGATTGATATTTTTGATAAAAACTCAACAAGTTTTTATAGTAGTGAACTACACATCAGCATTGTTAGTTTTCTTTACAGACTGGTTGCTGATCAGCAGGAAGCTGACTGTGGCGTTTGTATTGTTAGACAGGTCAGTTAAAGGCAGAGTCAGGCATCCTGTTTAGATTTAGTCTTTGTCTTTACATTGTTCCCAGCTGTGCAGAGTGCAGCTTCCATGCTTCTCCTGACCCTGTTGGAAACAGCAGGAAACTCTTACGCAATACCTGCTCATTGTTCTTTTTTTTAAAAGTGTCTGGGAGGAAAAGTGTGTGCAGAAAATGAAAACAGTTAAGATAAAAATCTGTGGGATTCTATGGCTTGAGGGAACGTACTATCTTCTGATGGTTTGTGTTGGTCGGCATCACTGCACTGGAATGACCGCATGTCTGCGTCGGTGAGGACAGATTCAACTCCAGTCTGAACATCAGTCCTAATCCTAATCACTATGCTGACTGTTTTACATCACTCAGTCAGCTGTTAGAAAAACACTGAACAAGTATGATTTGTCTGACAGGGCTGCTGGAGAAAAGCCTCTTGAAAATGGCAACAAGTTAGTTTTGCAAAGTTGCATCTGAATAAACCACAAGATGACTGGATACTTGTTCTTAGTAATTGATTATTTGGATAAAAAAAATGTTCCACTAATCTTTCATTTAACCATTTAAGCCTTTTTATACATTAGAAAAACATTAAAAGATTCAAATAAACAAATAATTTATTTTCAATGAAGTTTCTTCTGCCTAATACTCAATACCAGCATTCCTTTAGAACGAGTGAATATGTTTCGATATAAAACCATTCCACTGCAGCTCAGGCTGGATGTTTGTTGTTCTGCTGAATCGTCAATCTGGTCCCCAGTTTCAGGTTTTAACCAGGGCGGCCATGTTTTTGGCTCTAACTCTGACCCTGTCTCTGCGCAGTATAGAGGGTGGACCATGGGGTTAGAGGGGAACACTGTGTTTTGATACGTATGTAGGTCAATAGTTATATATTTTTTGCTTCTGGCCAACAGCACATGGCTTTTTTTCTTGTAGTTAACAGCAATGGCCCTCTGCAGCTGCTCCCGAGTTACCAAGGACCTCCTCACTTCTAGTTTTTGGTTAATTCTCTCCCAGCCTGTCAGTTTAGTTAGAAAATCATGTCATGGTGGGTTTGCAGTTGTTCCAGTTTCCACTATGGATTGATGGATTAAACAATTCTCTGAGGTGTTCAAAGTGTGGGTATTGTTATTCCAACCAAATCCTGATTGAAACATCTCGACAACTTAACCTTTGACTTTCCTCTGTGTTGGTTGGTGAAGTTGGTACAACTAATGTTTTAGTTTTAGTGAACAAACAGAATAATGAAGAGCATTTTAAAAACTACTCCCAATTGTGCATGATTTTGTGCTGGAGTGTCACATAAAATCCCAAAATAATTTGTTAACATTTGTATTCACAATGTGACATAAAGTCATAACTTGATTTCTTTCAAGATATTTTAAAATAGTTGCATGTTAAATGCATCATTTAGAATTTTTATTAATACATTTTAACAATAAATAGACTTATTGTTTTTGGCATGTTGGTATGTGAAGCTTCGTACTCACAGCCATGGGACGAGTGGGTGTGCTTATCATGGACCTAGAACTGAAGCCGTGAGCCTGGGGAAAACTTTTTACTTCAGGATGAATGCAGTCTACAGAAAGGAAAGAGCAAAACACATGTTATTCATTTTAAATATGTCACATTAAAACATAGCATCATAGATCATTAGGAAAACTGAGGTATTGTTTACGATTCCATCAGCCAATCCTGTCAAAAAACAGGATGGTACTGAACTGCATTTAAATGACTCCATCTGCTCACATCCACAGAATGGTGCTGATTGTTTTCTTATTTTTTCTACATTTCTGAATTAAATGACTGATGATCTTGCACTTTTTTCAATGCGCTTTGAGCGCCCCCCAAAAATTATTTGAATTCATTTAAGGCTGAAGCGATTCATTGGATTCATTGTAACAAATCGATTAGTGAAATAATTTAATAATTGATTAATTGCAGCATACAGAGAAAAGTCATTTTGCTGAAAGAACAACACACTCAAAGCAAAAGTCAAAAGTGAACAAAAATGTATATACATTTTATAGTTCAGATTAAAAAAACAAAAAAACAAAAAAATAACTTTTGTCTAGATAAATTCTACCCAGAACTTTTCAAGAGGCAGTTTTAGCTTCAGCTGGTTCAAATTCTCTGGAAAAAAAAGTCTACTCAGCACCTCTTGCTGCATTTCCATCCATCTTCTGTACACCCTTGTCCCTTAGTTGCTGGTGCCTATCTCCAGCTAACATTCCGGTGAGAGGCGGGGTCACCCTGGACAGGTCGCCAGTCTGTCACAGGGCAACACAGAGACAGACAGGACACACAACCATGCACAGACACACACACACACACACACACACACACACACACACACACACACTCACACCTAGGGACAATTTAGAGAGACCAATTAACTTAACAGTCATGTTTTTGGACTGTGGGAGGAAGCCGGAGTACCCGGAGAGAACCCACACATGCACAAGGAGAACATGCAAACTCCATGCAGAAAGACCCAGGCCGGGATTCAAACCTAGAACCTTCTTGCTGCCAGGCAACAGCTCTACCAAATGCACGACTGTGCAGCCCCCTTGTTGCATTTTAAATCAGTTAATGAAAATTGATGTTCAGTCCAGCAGAAAGGCCTGAGTTTTTCGTATTGGTGTTAGGATTGTTCAGCTGCAGATGTTTATTTTATTATTTCAAAAATAATTGGAGTAGTTGTTTAAAAAGAGTTTACGTACTGCTGCAACAGCACGAAATAATTCTTAAATGTAGCACTCCTGTAGGATTCGTAGCAGTGGCGTATGTGTGCCGCATATGAGATGTGAGACATCAGGAAAAGAAGTAATAATTGAACATTCTTATCACAGAATAATTAATTAAGTTTCATTCAGTGTTAACTGCAACTATCTGGAGCTCTGTCACAGCTTTTAAGGGAAGGCATCTAGAAAATTAGCCACTGTTCAATTCCTCCACATTCTAATCAGGATTTTCTAAAGCTGAAAGAAAATATAAACACAAGATGCATGACACAGCAATATTTGATTTTCTTTCAATACAATACACAAACTAAACACTGACTGGACAAGTAGATAGGCTGCAGAAATAAAATCTGAATGCAACTGACAGATATTGTTCCTCAAATGTTCATGCTGGCCAGCAGATGTGCCCTGGGTCAAAACTACCACTGTTACTGTTACTTATGTTTCTGACAAGCATAGGTATTCGGTGTGGTGAGGGAAGGCATATGAAGAAAAAAAAAAGACTTACAAAAATTGAAGATGCTACAAGAAAAAGAGAAAGACACAAAACAGAAAGAACCAAAGAGGAATCATTCAACTAGGGGCTTAGGTACTGAGGAGAGGAAGTGAGAAAGGAAGCAGAAGAGCTAATTACAGGTGACTGGGAACAGCTGAGGAGAGCAGGCAAAGGAAATGAGGAAATGAAAAAAACAGCTGGGAGAAAGAAAGGTAGGAAAAGACAGGAGAGAAAACAATAAAACTGAGAGCCAAATTAAAAAGAAGGAAACACTGATAGATACAACTAATGAACGAACGTGATGAAAAAAATAAAATTGCACTAAGCAAGTAAACAATAAAGAAATGATCAAAAACTGAAAAAAAAAACTAAACTAGAAGTCCAAACACCTACAGATTGAGAGTTTCACCCAGCTTCAGTGTAAGGAACAAACCATCCAGAGTTAATGGCTGGTTAGTTCTGAAGCACTAACCAGCCACTGGGTTATTCTCACTAAGAATAAACCCAGCCAGACACCAGCTGAGCAATTCACTCAAGAATAATGAACATAGAGCTCCACTGGGTACAGGAGGGAGAATAAGGGCATGACTTCACCAAGAGACACTCAGCAGCACGCCTGAACTTCACAATCCAAGGATAACAGGAATCTCCATGGAAGAAAAAACCGAGTAAGTCATCTTTACTCACAAAACATCTTCAGATGGGTGAAGCATCCAGTATAAGCTCTTAGGATTCAACGTGTCAGTGCTATCGATTGTGCCACACAGACAGCATGTTCAGTGTGACCCAGGTTGTGTATGGGTGTGTGTGGAAGATGACATCATGTAAACAGAAGTGCATGGAGCAATTCCAGCTCCCATTTTAATGTCACCCTGGACACAGAAAGCATGACGCTCCTCCATACAGCTCACTGCAACCACATGAAGGACAACACAAAGGAGAGTGTTGACTGGAAAGACCACAAGACACACACACACACACACACACACACACACACACACACACACACACACACACACACACACACACACACACACACACAGAATACAAGTACTGCAGGCTGGGAGGGAGGAAGGAGGAAATACTGCTGGGTGGGGCCCTGGGTTGCATGCCTGAACATCAGCATCACCACATCACAACTAACTGATACCACCAACGCAGAAATACAGCATGAGCAGAAATATGAATAACTACACAAACAAGTTAATGACACAAATCACACACAGGTTCTGAGGGAGTCAACAAGAGAGTGCAGTCAGATCATTTTACATAAAGAGAAAGAAAACTAGGAATCTATTTTTAAGAATACAAACTAACTTTCTTCTAGCTTGTCATCCTCTTTGTGATGTTTAAATAATGAAGTGTGGCTTTTGGATATTAGTCATTATTCAGCATTTAAGGACAGCATTCACCTCTTTTCCATCTATCAGGATTTTTTCTGCAACAATGTGACAAAGGGACCCAAAACTGCACCATGTGCAGTTTCAGTTGCTGCAACTGCAACAGCTGGAAACGTTGCAGCATTTCCAGCTGCTGCAGTTTGATTTCACACCAGACTCTGTCAAACCAAACTAACACTTTGAGGAACCTGTTCCTCTCGTCGCCTGTGGTGGCGCTGCTCTGAAAACCACAGAAGGAAAAAGCACAAAAACATCTGAAGAAAATACTGAGGGCAACTTCCTTCTTTATCAAAAGTAAACATGTGGCATCTGATTTTAGTGGTTGTAGGATTTCTCTTTTGTCTTTGGTGAAAGATCACAAACCATTTCTCCCACCAGCTAGCTCTAGACTTGCATATTTGTTTTGGTTGTATATACCCAGAATGCACTTTATTTTAGTTCGCTTCCTACTTTTGGTGCGTTCTCCAGTCCACTTGGCATTCATATGCATTCAAACCGCACCACAGTTCACTTCAACTGAAACCAGACCAGAGTTCACTTCTATGCTCTCCAAACAAACCGGACCTCCTGGACAGACGGACTGGAAGTCCAGCCTGTTTAGTATGAATTCACACAGAATGCACTCTAAATTAGTACAACTCATTAAATATCTCACTTATATCAGTGTCTAATGTTTTGTATCAATTATATCTAGGATGTAGAGGGATTTATTTACAGGCAAATACATCCGATTCAACATGTTTGATTTATTAAGCCAATGACAGCAAACATAAATGTATTTTCTACTTGAGGAAAAAGTTACCCTGGCCTATTAGCTTGTGCTTCACCTTTGGTTGTAATGACTTCAAAGATTCCAGTCTATGTTGGTCTAATGAAGGTTTCTCATATTTCTCCATTTCACCTGAGAGATGTCTGAGGGAACTGACTCCATTCCAGGTCTTTAATTTACTCATTCTCAGCCAGTCCTGGTGTGTTCTGGCTCATTGTCATGTTTCAGGGTCCAGTTTTGTATGATCCCTCTGATACAAGGTAGAATCCATGGAGGATTTTATGATGGTGAGTTTACATGACCACAGTCAGTATGAAGATCTTAATCTGGAATTCTTTTTTGGTTTATTCCAAACATCTGCTCCAGCCTAGAAATCATTCCACTTTTCACTCATCTGTCCGAATAACATTATTTCAAAGTCCAGCTTTTCTCTCTGGCAAACACTGGTCTGCTTTCACATGTAAACTTGTGCTTGTCTCTTTGTGATTGTACAGGTATGAACTTCCACATCAGCAGAGGTAGGAACCAGCTGTAGGTTCTGACATGAACGTCGAAGGTTTTTGAAATGTCTTTTAGCATCTTGTGTTCTGCACTAGTGCTGAATCAGCTTGAACGTTCAGTACATATATTTATATATATTTATATATCTATATAGATTTCTATATAGATTATTGCAGAGTATCATTTAACTTATATTGCTTGTGTGTGAAGAAGTGATGTTTTACTTATTTCAACCAGCAGGTCATCATGGTGTCAAGAGCAGAACTTTTAAAACCAATGGCACTCATGATTTTCCTAATACCACAGTTTATAAACTGTGTAGGTTTCTATTATAATAGATGTTTCATACTGGTGTAGTTCTGTGCAATTAGTTTGGATTTCTCATACCTAAGAATTAAAGGAACTTGGAGTTTGCACCAATAAAGTAAAACCAGCTTCTTTTGCATGAGAAGAAAACTCAAATAACTGCTATCACATTTTAGATTCTCCCTGTCTTCCTGTCATATTTTGCCATTCTAATCATGGCATGAATGAAGACTACTGGTGGAACAAGAGGAAGGTCTAAAATAGATCCTGACAGCATGTTGTCTGGAGGAGATTGGAAAGGAATGTTCAGCAAACAAAGGTGGTCAGGCAGGGCGGCGTTCTCACTTCAAAATAAGCTTCAGCTTTGTTGATTCCTCTGCTTTCATTTTTGTATATAAATAAGTAAGTAAACTTTATTTCTATAGCACTTTTCACAGACCAGGGTCACAAAGTGCTGCACAAAATGTAAAAAAATAAATAAATTAAAAGCAACATACAAAACAATAAAACACAGTATTACGCTAAAAAGCAAGTTTAAAAAAGTGGGTCTTAAGTTGTTTCCTAAAAGTGTCTATACAATCCAGAGATCGAATGGTGCAAGGTAGCTCATTCCAGAGGCGAGGCGCCACAGCTTTAAAAGATCTGTCTCCTCTAGTCTTAAAAAGGGTCCGAGGAACCATCAGCAAGTTTAGATTCGACGACCTGAGGCTCCTAGTCGAAACATAAGGCTGGATGAGGTTCTTAATATAGTCTGGCGCCCGTCCATGAAGAGCTCTAAAAGTCAGTACCAGGATTTTGTAGTGCATCCTGTAAGATACAGGCAGCCAGTGCAAGCTTTTGAGGATGGGTGTAATATGTTCCCTCCTGTGGGTGCAAGTGAGCAGGCGTGCAGCTGAGTTTTGTACTACCTGCAGACGCGCAAACTCCCTCTTGTTAAGACATGTGAACAGACTGTTACAATAATCCAAGCCCGATAAGACAAAAGCATGAACAATCATCTCAAGCTCACCATAAGTCACCATCTTACGAAGTTTAGAAATGTTCCGAATTTGGAAAAAGCAGTTCCTAACTGTAGTACACATGTAGTAAAATGCAGTCTGCTCAGGTGTTACTGGTGGGTGATTTATTTTTAAGAAACAAGTAAAAAAATGACTTTTAGTCAGCAGTGAATTATGATGAATTCACAGTGAAGGAGCCTGACCTCAGTGCCCTGTGGTTTCACAGATTAATGTCAAGGTTCTTTATTTTCTCTCCTCTGATTATCTGCCTCATATTATACAGTCACTACATGGTGATAGATTTAGCAAATATGTAAAAGAAATGTTATGTTTTAAGTTACATACCCCGGCTAAGAATAGATGGAATTTTAAAAAAGCGTAGATTTTGTTAACTAAAGAGGAGCAAAAACAAGAATAAAGTGTATTTTACGATGCTGCACATCTTGAACATTTTCTATGCTTGTGTTTTTCACAAAGTATGGAAATAAAAAAGTTTAAAACACAAAACTTCCACCAAAATCCACAGTAACTATATGGATTTTATTGGTCTTTCTACCTCCCTTTAAGGGTCTTAGCAGCCTTTTGGTCTGCAAACATCACCGTTAGGACAGCATTGTTCTGAGCAGGAAAGAACTGTTTATTCCCATGGCAACCTGAACAGGATGCACTATTACTGGTAAAGACTGTAGCAATATTATCAGATGAAAAATCACTCCAAAATAATCATATTTGCTTTTTTAAGTGCAGTAGAAGCCTGAGCAGTGAGTTCAGCTGACATTATCAGCTGCTCTGGGGTTTCTCCCTCTGAATTTATTACAAATGAGATCTACATAACATCACACTATCAATCTACTAGATCTCTGGAGATATCCAAGGAGAAGGAAGCTGCTTCATCAGCCAAATCGTTGTAGCCTACAGGAACACGGATGTTTCAAACACAATGAAATGCCAACATTTTAATCCTGGCTTATTTCTTTATTTATTAGTCACAGAAATTTGAATTTGAGTTGACCTGCAGCCTGTATTCTGTCACCTAAAGTGGTTAGAATATCTCAATGCCTTATGGGATATTCCTTCAGCAGCCTTGCTCAAAATAACTTATTGCCAAATTGTTGCAAGGTAAACAGATGAAGCATCAAAATACAGTCAGAATGAAGCACACCCCTTTAATATTTTACAGCCTTACATACTTATTGACATTTTTCATCAACTGCACTTCGTTTTCCATTTTGACTTCATTTTTGTTTCATGCAAAATAACATAAGTTACTCTATAGCAGGGCTGCACAACAGTGCAGTTGGCAGCACTGTCACGTTGTGCATTTGAAGTTAGTTTGAACAATTTCAGAACCCGGTAAACCAGACCACACATCGGATAAAATCAGTGTGTATTTTCTGTTTACAGTTAAGATAAAACATTTGTACTGACAAATATGATCCAGTTTTTTTGCTGTTTGTAGACTTGTTCAGGACTTGATGGTCCTTTTCCTTCCCAACCTCCCAGTCTGGACTGGGAAAGCAGCCGTCAGCAGAGCCAGCATGCAGCCTGGTACGGCTGCATCTGGGGATCAGGACACTGACGCTGAAATGGGATTCTCCCTCCAACTACATTATTTATTACACTGTAGCTGTGGGTTACTGCCGTCCAAGCTCTTTATTCTGTTGGCTTTAATGCCATGGCAACCAACAAGCCCTAAGGCTTCAAGTTAATTTTTTAGTGTGAAACAGCACAGACAGGTAACAGGAGGACAGGATGTAACGGGGGACATCATACCAGCGAACAGCACAACATTCACCTGGGATTAGTTCTTCTCTCCCCTGGCACTGCATTTCATTTTGATATGTGAGCTCATGTCGTATAAATGTCACTGTTGGTGATCAGAGGAAGGAGTTTTAGTAAATAACAGCCACACAGTTCTGTCAACATCTGCTTTATCAGACTCAGGAAAGTGTGGAGACATTTTGTCCTTCTTGATTTCTGGTTGTCTTCAGAAAATACCCTAGTGAGGTTCAATGGTAAACGGCCTGTAGTTGTGAAGCGCTTTATCAAGTCCAGATGACCCCAAACGACCCCTACATCCAGTCACTCCCACACACACTCACACACTGATGACGGTGAGCTACATTGTAGCCACAGCCGCCCTGGGCAGACTGACAGACGAGAGAGAGGCTATCAGGCAACAACAGGCAAAGCTGGTGAAGTGGTGAAGTGGTGTCCTACCAAGGACACAACAACTTTAACATTTAGGGAAAAAAGTAGAAATTGGACAGTGGAAGTTTATGCAGTCATTGTTAGACTTTCCACAAGAAAGGAAAAACCAGGAAATAAAACCCCTGGTGTTCCAAAGGTCAACAAATACATATAACATCATCTGATGTTCTCTGAACTCTGAACTGAACAGAGAAATCTGCTGGATTCCACATCATCAGTTTCATGTAAGTAGCTGATATTGGTTGAATCAAATCTACAACCAACACTGTGTAGTCTCTTTGATGAGATGTTACTGGGCCTCAGATTGACTCCACAAAGACTGTATTGTTACTTGGTATACAGATTGTCCAATAAAAGCCAAGTTTTCAAGTCCAAGTCCATGTAACCCAGGTGACAAGTTCAACTTTGGGTTTTCTTCTTTGTGTTTCGTGCTCCTTGAGAAACTCTGAGCAGAAACTTTCTCAAATGAAAACTCAACTCCTGAATCCTGTCCTGTTTGACTCTTTTGTAGAAATGAAGAAATGTTCTAATTCCGCCTTGTATTCACCTGAAACTGTTCCCATGATAAGAAAACCAGAACATTTTATTTTTCCTGCAAGACACAAATAAATGACACACAGTTTTGCTTTCTCTTTTCTCCTGGGTCTCCATCTTAACATTTTGTCCTGCTGTGCTTAAGAACATTTCAGTGGTTTAAGTGGTGTGGATCAGCAGTCACTGCAGAATACACAATGTGGCAGGGAAAAAAAACGAGCAGAACGACAAAGCAAAGGGTGGGAGCCTATAAAGGTTTCAGTCAGGACTTTTCCCAACAACGTCTGGATAGAATCTGTTTTCAATTTAGACCAAATAAAATTCCCTAGCTACCGCTGGCCTGCGTGTGCTGAATGCAGATTAGCAACTGTTTGCAATGCAGTGTCAGGAGATAAGATGTAGCCCACCACAACGGGCCGGCGGCCAACACAACCACAGCACTGGATTGGTCCCCCAGAGAACAGAGAATAACTCTGATATATATATATATATATATATATATTCCTATTCCTAAATTCCTAAATAGAATAGGGTCCCTATTCTATTTCTTTTAGTCGTAACAGTGTTACTTAACTTTCTGTATCATAGCTGGATTCTGAATAGGAGTGGGTGGTGTTGACTTAGAATGTCATCCCGATATTTTGTGGTACTATTGTGATAACAAAAGTGATGATGGAAAAATGATTTATTATGTCTTTTTCATGTAACTGACTGTGACTGTATGTCACAGCATTCAAATCCTGCTCTGGACAAACATTCCCATCTGAAACAGACTCCTTCAGGCGCCTCTGACTTACTGATTTATCACTAAACTCCACACGGTTACAATATACTGGATCATATTTTCAAATTTACTGATACTTATTGTTCTTGTGGAACAGTGGAGAAAATATTAAAAACGTAACTTTTAAGATGATGCCAGTTGTATTTTTTTTTTTTTTACATTAACTGAAATTTATCGAAACAACAATAAATCAAAACTCTTATTATACTCAACCAATAAAAAAAAGAAAGTTTGGTTTTTTATATTTCCCATACTTTTCCAGTTTTGTTCTTGTATTTTGCTGAGTTTTATTTTCATGTTTATTATTTGAATAAATGATTTCTTCTGTTCCGTTCTAGAAGGACTCCAGGGTGTCTGAGCGGCTGATGGACACAGGTTACACCAAACCTCAGTTCTACACAAGTAACGGACTGGTTCCCCTCACTGGGGAACTTTTTCAGCCGCCTGTTCTCACCTGTTGCTGGCCCAAACTGTGAGTTGCCCAGCCTGGGCAGTGAGGAGGACTTCCTCTCGGCCAGTCGCATGCGGACCTGCTCTTGGACCCTCCGGACTTTGGCCAGCGGGTCCGCGGACTGCCCGTCCGAGGGCAGCACGTAGGCGGTACAGGAGGAGTTCGGTTGCAGCGCGGTCAGAAAACAGCCGTCCGCCATCGCAGCAGTCATACTCACTCACAACGGGGACTTAAACAACTTCACCCGGGCAGAGAGGGGAGAAAATCAGGGGAGTAAATATTCCAACGGTCCCGAGTCCCGTTAGCGGCTCAGCGTCTGAAGGAGAGTCCGCCCCGCTACGAAATGGAGAGCAGAGCAGTCAACAGCCCGAACATCTGGAGGCGGGAGCTGCGGGGAGGAGGTGCAGGACAAATCCACCTGCTGTCAGGGACAACCCGACACTGGAATGGTTGACTGATGATTTGTAAAATACAGTAAAATACAATATTCACAACAAATAAAATACTAAACCCCATACGTTCGAAAGTTGAGTAGAAGGAAAAAGTGTGGTAGAAAAAGGCGCACAAGCGACAGGATTGTGAAAGAAAAGCCCTTTGAAGCATTTGGGCGCCCCGCGGCTGTCTGCACCACCCACAGATCCAGTGTGAGCTACAGCTGTCAGGCAAAAGGAGACACAACCGAGGACTGAGGGTACAAACAGACACATTCAATGAGGTAGAGTATTATTGAAATGTCCATTTCAAGAACCATTTTCACTAAATGAAACACATTATGTAGGTAACACAGACAGCCCTGGAAGCCTTTATTTCTGTTAATTACGATGATTTTCCACGTAGAGTTGATGAAAATATGACATTTAAAATTAGAATAATACATCAGAACAATAGAAAAAAATAAAATAAAACCAAAATTTAGCCTTAACGGAAAGTTTGTTTAATGCCTGCTTTATTACGTCCCAGGTTGTTGTTAGTTGTTTGAGGGTTTGATTTACTGATTCTAGTTTCACATTATTTCTGTGTACCTTAGCTTCTGTACTATGATTAGACCATCTTTGTCTCTGTTTTACCTTAACTCAGTCCTTTAGTGTATTTAGTTTTATTATATTCCTTAATTATTCTCTGTCTCTCCCTTCTCACACCTGAAACTTGTTTCTAATCATCATCTGTTCCTTGTTTCATAACCAAGCTCCCCACTATACTCATTCTCAGTCATTCTTTGCTGGTTCCCCCTGTGATTACCCGATGTGCTCCTGGATATCTTTGCTGGTTTTCTGTTCTTGGCTCCTTTTGTTGTTCTACTCTGGTTCCCTGCGTTCCCTGTGATTTTCTTTTTTTTTTTTTTTTGCTCTTTATTTTGTTAGGTAAATTGTATTATTATCAAATGTTGTTATACCTTTATAATGTTCTTGCTTTATGTATTTATTTGTTAATCATATCTTTTAAGAAATATTGCTGTATTGTTAATCACTCTGATTTCCTTTCTCAGAGGGCCTCTCTGAAGAAGAGCAGTGACAGCAGCTCTCTACAGAACGCCCTGCTTTTGAACTGTTAGATAGCCGTAATACCGTCGCCGTGAAGATGTACAATTTGCTCTGTTTGACCCTGTGTCAGGAACTGGATAATCTAGTTTAAGATAGATTGTGTTGTTAGTTAGTGATAATCATTGGCGCTGTAACTGTGTGAAGTGTCTTCCCTCTCCCTTTAGAGTTGCAGTGCTCTCTGTGATCAGGGATCCTAAAAGAGAATAAAAAGAGAGGGGCAGGCAAATGTGCTTCACAGCAGTAGGAGATTTGTAACTGAAAGCACATCTCTGTCTGTTCTCCTCGCGAGTATTCAGAATCTAACTTTCTCTTGTCTTTCCTGTATTATTTAATCTGTGTTAATAGGTGTCAACTCTGACAATTTTTATTAAACCTCCAAATCCACTTGACACCTCTGCCCAGAGTACTTGGGTTGTACTCTGGGATGTACTTCAACATCCAACACAACATAAAGGTTGTTCATTTTTTCAGGTTACTTTTAGTCCTTGATCTGAAGTTAGGTGATGGGAACCCTCACCTCGTCTCAAGAAGGCTGATTCCAGCAGCTTGTATCTCACTCCTTTTTAACACGATCCATGTCTCATGACCAGAAACGAGGCTTGAAGCATCTGATTGTCTGATGTCACTCATAAACAAGCAAGAAATCAAATTGTACATAATGTAATAAGGAAGTTTGCACAGATTGCAGCAGTCTGGCCGATCAACTTTAAGAACCCTGACCTGCCAACTCTGAGGTTGGCCAGTGCTGGCTTTTTTATCTGAAATGTTGCTAAATACAGTAAGGAAGTCGCTCAGTTGGCAACGGTGGGTTGACAAGGAACATGCAGACATGACCTGGCAGTGTCGGCCTCTCAGTCAAAACTGTCTCACAGCAGAGCAGAAGAGGGCTGGGGGTGATTTTTAGACCTTGAAAGTGGATAAGATTGGCTTCACCTGTAAGTATCAGCCGATCACTGATCTCCCAAAAACTGGGCCAGATTTATTGTGATCTTGTGATCTTATGAAACATGTGCAGCTTATCCAGAGGAGAGAAAACCCAGACTCGCCATTTTAATCTCCCTCAACATTCACTTCAAATCATGTTGCATTCCAGGCCCACTGAAGTGGGAAGTCCAGTTTTCATGTTACAGCTCATTTCTTTTCCTTAACTAGTAAACCATAAATACCTTCCCGTTTGGAGACCAGCATGGCTGTTCCAGTTCGTGGTTTGTTTTGGCCAGTCTGGACTCCTACATGGAAAACCGTTTTCTGTAGTTTTGAAAACGTCTCACACTTCAACAGTTAATCTCAATGGTGACTGAATGGCATAAATGCTTCACACTTGATTTTTAGCTCTATCTGTTTACACACAATGCATCTGTAAGTCATAACATTATGATCCCTAATGCATGTGATGCAAGTGGTTGGAAAATTAAGAAAAAGAGAGATTCCTGCCAATTCTAAACAACATTTGAAGCCAAGAGAGGAAGCTTGGGTGGAGTGTCAAATCAGGAGTGGTTTAGCAAACCAGCTTAGCTCACAGCTCTGCTCATGTTAAAAAAGTGCTTGACTTCAGGTCAAAACCCTCAGAGTGATGAGAAAAGATGAATATGAATGTTTCCGAAACACTTTTTCATTTTCCTGTAAATATGAGGAAACATTAGAATGCTGTTCTCCATTGTCTCAACTTTATCCTACTGTTTTTCCTCCTTTTTGTTACTCACATGTCAAATAATGATGAATGAGAGTGGAGGATGATTGTGAAATCAACACACTTTTCCTGTTCGCTGACCGATTGTTTCAGGGTCCAGGAATGTGGAAATAACTTCACCCAAAGCTGACATGAGAGGAGGAGGGGAGGTCTGGGAAGCTGCGCTGGAGGAGAGCTAATATGTCAGGAGCAGAGAGGCCTCTGGGAGGAATTTCTGCAGCCTGTCTCTGAGTCGGCAGCCAAAGCCAAGAGGTTTACACACAAACCCCACACTCAGGGTTTGGGTGTAATGAGGAGAGAGTTTCATTTACAGTCCTGTTCCCTCCCAGAGGTCACAACCTCTTCTTCCTTGTAAACTCAGTGGTGAATATGTATAATTTTCTACTCTTGCTCACTAATTTATGTGTCCTTTTAATCCTTCTTAGGGCTGTGGGGGAGGAGGGAGGGAGGGGGTTTCTGGGAAAGAGATGATAACTCCACCCTCCAGAGGTCAGCAACCTATCACAGGCACAATGACACAAAACAGGAATTACCATGTATGTTCACAGCTCCAGGACCTCCCCTCCCCCACACACACATCCCCACAGACCCCCCTTTGTTTTTACTTTCTATGTCACACTTAAATGTTTCAGAATATTTAACACAGTTTTCTATCAGACTAAAACAACCTGAGTGAATACAAATTATTTCATTTATTGGGAAAAGTTGTCAGAACCAATCTGGTCCAATGTGAAAACTGTCAACACCAGCCTAAGGATGCAGCGATCCACTGCTTCCACTTCCAATACGGACACCAATATTCTGAATTGAATTTACTGTTTGTCTCATGTACAATGAGATTAACAGTACAATGTATGAAATATGTGGAATATAAAGCAAGAGAAAACAAGTGATATTAACATTATTTACAATAATAATCAGCTGGATGTATATACACGCATACACATGTAACCATAATTAGTTCATGTAAGTGTTGAAGGTGTTAACGGTTTTTGAGTCTGTTTTTGTTTTGATGCCGCCTCCCTGAGGGCAGCAGCGTGGTGCTGTCCTTGGTGAGGGGCTTGGCAGTGGGAGGTGTAAACGTCCACCAGAGAGGGGAGAACCATTCAGAGCTCTGAATGTTTCTGTCTCCTGTTTGGAGAAAGGTTCTCCATGTTTGGTTCCAGAACCAGAACTAAACATGTAGAAGCAGCATTCAGCTTCTATGCACCACAAATCTGAAACAAACTTCCAGAAAACTGCAAAACAGCTAAAACACCGATTTCCTTTAAATAAAATATAAAAACTCAGCTACTTAGAGTTACCTTCAATTCCTATTAAGTGGAGCATTGATTACTATGTTTGGTGTATATTTGATAATTTTGATGATGGAATATTACAAAATATATAATTTTTTGCTAATTTCATAATAGGTGTTGTTTTTATAGTGTAAAGCTCTTTGAATCGCCCTGTTGCTGAAATGTGCTACAGATAAACTTGAATTGATTTGATCTATATCTTTTTCTGACATGCTGTTGGTTTTGTGCCAGATGTTTTACTTTTTTAGATTAGTAGCCTACTTCATGTAGCCAGGCTCACCTTAAGTCATTTCTTGACTCTATAGATGATCTCTCCATAATCAGCCCTGGGTGTGACATGTTAAACTGACTCAATAAATGAGGTCAATCACAGTTCAGTGCAGTTTATTCATGATTCATTATTATATTATTCATTCAGTTCAATATTACACAAGCCCAGAATGAAAACATTTAAAAGCTGTGCTCTATATTAGCTAAGGTTGATATAGTTTTTACAAAAAGCAAAATCAGTAGAAATATGTTGGGGGGAAAAATACTTTTCACACCTGAGGAAAAATCCCCCCAAAAACCCAGAGGTTACCAACTTCCTAAAACATATCTAGTTACTAAAAACAAAACAAAACAAAAAATGATTTTACTCATTGCAGGTTTGTACACAAACAAATAAATATAAACTGCTTTATTAAAAATGTATATTTGCATTCATTTTTTGAGCAACAGAGGATCACTGAAAATCTCATGACAGGAACATGAAGACATTCTGATTTATGTTCACATAAATTTTGATGTGTGGTTTGACTTTCTATTGCGAGGCAAATGGAATGAAGACGAACAAAGTTTTTGGAAAAATGGCAACATAACAGTGCAGACCAAAATGTTGTAGCAACATGATGGCAGATGCTGCAGACCAGTGAGCAACTGACCTTTTTTTTTAAATGAAATTCAGACAATGTGCAACACAGTGGTAAAC